CCTGAAGTCATTGGGGAGGAAGAATTTACTCTGCCCTTCACGGTCCTTTGAGCTGGAGTAAGAATCAAATTGACATGAGACAGATTAGCAAGAGAAAACCAAATTTAATAGGATAGTTATGGGAATCCACACAGGGAAATCCCAAAGACTGTGAGGGGAAGTGACACAGGAGCTGAGGTGGACAGGGATCCAATGACACAGAGGTGAGAAGGACCATTAGCAGGAAGGTGAGAAGAAATCTTTGGAAAACAAAGGTGCCCTGTTATGCAAATCAGTTTCTTAGGTAAAGAAGAATCTTTATTAATAGTGTTCTTCCTGGTACAGGCAGGCAGTTGAGAAAGAGGTAAAAAAAACTTTTCCTGAATCTGCTAGGTTTAGACTGCTTTTTATTTTTTTTTAAGATTTTATTTATTTATTTGACAGACAGAGATCACAAGCAGGCAGAGAGGCAGGCAGAGAGAGAGCGGGAAGCAGGCTCCCTGCTGAGCAGAGACCCCCCCTCCCCATGCGGGGCTCGATCCCAGGACCCTGAGATCATGACCTGAGCCGAAGGCAGCGGCTTAATCCACTGAACCACCCAGGCGCCCCTAGACCGCTTTTTAAAAGAATTTTTTTAAGATTTGATTTTTAAGTAATCTCTACACCCAACCTTGGGCTCAAACCCGCAACCGAGATCAAGAGTCAAAGCATCATGGACTGAGGCTGCCAGGCACCCCTGATTCCTTTTAACTCAAAATAGTGTTCATGCCACAGTGACCCACCTTGGACCCTCCCTCTCTTGGCCCCTACAAAGTCATAAAGAGATTAGTTAAAACTATAGGGTGCATGGTGTGGTAAGAGGTAAGCCAAGACAGATATTTGGGGAACTCTCTTGGATGTAAAGAACACATCAAAGGAGAAAAGCTTGAAAAATGATCGAAATCAGAAATATTTATAGAGATAAGTAGACACTCAGAGAGTCACAGAGGCTGATAAAAACAAGGAAGTGTTTCCTGTCCTTATTTTCTCATTCTTAAAAGTTCAGATCCAGAGGACCCTGCATTAGATCCCACTCTATTCCAAACCCCAAGCTTCTAGTCTGACTGCCTGCAGAAAGCAATGTACTTTATGAAAATTCACAATATTCTAAAAATACATCAGCCGGGCTACAGTGCCACAATTAGTGGATCTGCTGTCCCAGGAAACCCTCATCACCATTTTGCTTAGATCAGAGAGTGGATTAACTTTGATGTCTGTCTGAACCCCATGTGAGCCACCACTGGTGGTCTGCTCCCTGCAAGCATTCAATCTTCACATCCAAGGGAAGAAGGAGAAATGTGCCAGATAGGAGTCTGAACCAATTTTTTTTTCTCAGTGATTGAGATGAAAATATGCACCCTAGGCCTCCTGACATATCTGACTTGCATCCTGTCTCCTTCTATCCCTTGAGCTCTCTCCCCCTTTGCTCAAAGACCTCTCCCCCACCAATCCAAATTTCCTTCGGCTTTGGTAAACATTAGCATAGCTATGAAGTCCCTGGCCCCTTGTCTATGCCACATGTTGGAGGTGACTGTGGGACTTTCTGCATCTATGAGGTCTTCTGTTGGTATGCAACCAAAATAGACTCTGACGAACTAAAATCCAAAAAGAGTTTACTGGAAGTATATGGGTGGCCTGCAAAATATAATGAACCACGGAGAATAAGACTGCAAGGGGGGATAAAAAAAAATCTCTAGGAATACAGGCAAGTGGAAGATAAGCAATCATCTTATCAGGACATCAGCAATGAAAGAAATCTACTGCAACAGTACTGTCTGTCTGTCCCAGGGTCACCAAACTCCCAATTCTTATTTCTGGGAGAAAGGAAACAGTTGGACCAGGTTGGAATTGGACCCACACTCAGACAATATGAACTCACTGACTTTGCAAGGCAGAGTACACTGGTGATAATCACAGGTCTCCGGAGCCAGCCAGACTGGATTCGAATCCTGGCTCAGCCGTTTAGTAGCTATTGAGCTAGTCATTCTTGCTATGCCCCCAGCTCCTCCCTATGCAAATGCAGAATCAGGAGCTATTATTAGAGAAGGTTGAGGGACCAAAAAGCAATTACTATCCACCGCCGCATCTTATCCCTCTGCCACACTAGAGATGCCATGAGGACAACAGACTCTCTTGTTAATTCACTGCTGGCTGCAGTCACCAGCATTTGAAATGTGCCTGGCACATGGTGCTTGGCTCAGTAAACCTTTGTCAAATACACAAATGCTGATGTTTCCTTTTCGTGTTCCCAATCAACTAGTGCAGTGCTTTGCTGGAGTTGGCACACAATAAGTATTTGCTGATTGAATCTGTGAGTCAGTGGGATCCTCAGAAACGAGGAGAACATGGGGACCAAAGAGATGAACCTCTATTTGGTAGGACTCAGTGGCAAGCAAGTGCTCGGTAACTAATTATTGGTGTGATCATGCGAATAAGGTGATTATTGTATCTGTATAGATTGTGGCCCGGCCACCGGTCAGACTTAACTCTTTAGATTCACATGAGGGGACAGAGAAGCCACCAGGTTACTTGCCACTTGGAGATGGGGGTGGTTCATTTGTCCCACATGAGTCCGTGTCTGCCTTGGAGGCACTGCTGGTGGCTCATGAGGACATCTTGGCTTTCAGGATGTGGGTAGGGCTCATCCAGCCATCTGGAGAGCTTGTTCATGGAGACAGCCTAGTCTCAGGGAGGAGAAGCCAGTCAGATTAGGAATCAAGAAAACCAAAGCCTGGTCCTGGCTCAGCTAATGTTGTGTGACCCTAAGAAAGGTCTCTGGATCTCAGTGACCTGCTCTATAAAATAGGGTAATCCTTGACTTGCAGCTCATAGAATTGTTAAAGCAAATGAAATCACACTCGTGGTGACTTCCTCTGGAACTCCTATTGTTAAAAAACAAACAGAAAAAACAACTAAACTGGCTTCAGTGAAGAGGGAACCTCATTGGTTCATGTTACTGAGGAAGTCCAAAGGCGAATCCCTTTCAGGTACAGCTGCCTCCAGGAGCTCAAATGTAATGTCAGCAACTGATTCTCTCCACTCCCTAGCTTTCCTTCTGCCGTACTGTCCTCATTCTCAGTCTCTAAATGGTGCTGCCCAGGGATTCCAGCATCCAATCCTGTCAAATTTTCAATCAGATTTCCAGCAGCTGGAAAACACTATGACTGGCTCAACGTAGGTCATGTAGCCAGGAGGATGCAGCGATACTGGGTGATCAGGCCTGGGTCCTGTCCCGATTGATCCTCGTGGTGTGGGAGCTTGGTCAGGCTTGGTTATATACTTAACTCTCAGAGCTGGAAAAAAAAAATCATTGGGGTGCAGGGGGCACTGAGGAGAAGCCCAGTTTCACGGACTGAGATGGGAGAGGAGGGGTTTGCCAAAAGATATTCTGGGGTGATTAATAGAAAGATAAGTGGAGGCTGAGCTGCTAAAATGACAAAGGCACACTACACCTGGGGTTTTATATCACTTGACAGAAAGCATGCATCCCAGCTCCCCTCTCTGCAGGGAAGTCCTCTGTTTTCCCCCTAACAAGCTCCTGCTAGCTTCGGAGCAGCCCCCGCCTCACCCTACAGTCATCTGTCTTCCTCCACTGAACTTCTGCAGCCCTCAGGACCCTATCACTCATTGGTAACAAGCTGCGCCGGGTCATTAGTTATCTTTTTATGTAGATGTCCTGTCTCTTCATCCACGTGGCAGGATCCCGGACAGCAAGGGTCACATCTTACTCATCTTGGTGTCCCTGGTCACACTTTGTCTGGTGTTTGGGGGCATGGCAGTTAGTCCATAAATCTGCTGACAGATCGAACACCTGATTTATATGCTTCTGGAACCACAGAGGTACACAGTAGCTTGACTGAACTACAAAGCTACAGAGAGAGAGGAAACCTGTGCTCTCCACACCGTTTTGGAAAGATCATAGATCTTTTCCAGACTCAATAATACTGCTGGGGTCAGGGTGAATGTCGGCTTGCTCCCCAGCCTCCAGCTGCTGGTAGCATTCTTATCTATAAAGGATTGAGTGAAGGCCCAAGGAACCTTACTCTCAGCTGCTCAATACCTCTGGGTAGCTCATATGCTCTCATAGCCCACCCAGAAGGATGGAGAATGGGAGTCATAGGAAGGGGAACAGGATGTTTATCCTCAGTAGCCCCCACCCCAGGCAGTAAGGCAAAACCCTAAGATCCCGTCAATTGGACTGGCCACTGGCTCTCTGAGTTGCACTGACCGTATTTATCCTTACCTCATTGGTAACCCAGACATTCAGCAAGAGGGAACGGCGAGAGAGAAGGGGGATAGAAAAACGGAGTCAGAGCAAATCTTCCTTTAGTTTAGACGACGTTGAAACAACACTGCTCCCCTGCTACTGTTGGTCCAGAAGTCCCTGTGGCTCCGTTTAGAAGCCCCCTGCAGGCCGTCCTGGGGCAGGCCAGTCGCCCCTTCGTCTCTCATCTCTTCCAACAGTCCTCAAGGAGACCCAATGACTTGTGCAAAGCCGCGCGGCCAAGCCGGGGTTCCCTGATCTGTAAAATGGGCCAACTGATATTATGAGGTTTAAATCAGCGAGTCACAGAGAACACGCAGCTTGAGGTAGAAAGGCACTAAAATCAAATGGTGGGGTGGGGAGAGAATGAGGAAGCCTGGTTGATAAAGGAGGGGGTGATAAAAGAGGTCAGGAGAATGGTGCACTTAGGGGGAACTGGGCTGCGGGCTGCGCAGGGGCCAGAAGAGGGCCGGTAGGATCCAGCCAAGCAAGAGCCCCATTCACCACGCCGCGGGCGCTGGGCAGGCGCAACCTCCACCGAGGCAGCGCTGGGGAAGCGGTGAGCCGCACAGACGCCCCGCGCCGGCTCCCGCCGGCTCCGCCCACCCATAGCCACGCCCCCGGCCCCACCCCTGCACTATCTCGCCCCGCCCTCCCCCTAGCCCCGCCTCCAAGGCCCGGAAGCGAAAGCAGCTCCGCCTCTTCCGGGTGGGGTCACGGCCCGGCGGCGTGAACGGCGGCTTCCAGTGTGCGGGTTTCTCAGCGGGTCGGGGCAACCCCTTACCCGGCGCTATGTCCCGGAACCTTCGCACGGTGCTCATCTTCGGCGGCTTCATCTCCCTGATCGGCGCCGCCTTCTACCCTATCTACTTCCGGCCCCTCATGCGGCTGGAGGAGTACCGTGAGTGACCTGTGACCCCGCGCGGTGGCCTGGTCTCAGTAACACCCCTCCCACCCACACCTGCTCGTGGGGCCGTGGAAGGAGCTTGGCTCGGGAGTCAGGCAGTGCCGGGTTCGAGTTCTGCTGTGTGCGGCTTTGTGACTGTGGACAAGTTTGACTCAGTCTCTCGTACTCTCAGCATCCGCATCTGTAAATTGCTATTTGTAATCAGTAAAATAAGACCGTTCAGTGTCCATTGAGACTCCCAGGTGGTAACGAAAGCAGTCGGCACATAGTAAGTTGACACTAAATACTAGTTCATGCTCACAGGTAACATTCGTGGAACGCTGACTGTGTCAGGTTAGGCATAACATTGGATCTTTTAATATCCACAACCTTGCTTCGAGGTAGGTATTTTAATGCCCGTTTCACAGGATGGAAAACTGAGGCTCAGAGAGGTTGAATAAGAGGCCCAAGGTCACAGAGCTAGTAAGTTGGAAGGCGAATATTCCAGCCCTGCCCAGTGTCTGCAGGGCTTCTCCCACACTCGGAAGCTGGGAATGGTGGTATTGGAGGGAGGCAGACGGAGCCCTAATCTTCCTGAGCCTGAAGGTGTTTTTATTGCACTCCATTTCCACTCCCAGAGACAGCTTTAAGCGGAAATGTTTCAGACCTAAACTGTTATCCTGGGTTTTTGAGTTTTCCTCAGGTCTTTTTTCAGATTCTTCTGTCTTCCTTCATTTTTAAGCGGGTTGCTCACATGACAATGGTGAATACCCTGGGAGTAATTTTCCTCCTTAATCATTCAAGTTCTATCATTCTAAAAGCCAAACTCTCCTTCCTGGAGACCTATACCTCAGCAAAGATTAGCACTTTGATACATCTGAAACCATCTGTCAGAGAGAAAATATTAGGCATTAGAGGCTCATTTTGTTCTCCAGGAAACCTGAATCATCTTGAAGATGGAAGAGGGTTAGCCCTGCCCCCTGGAGAATATTAGCAGAGGCTGAAAGCCTGGCGATTTGAAGACAAAAGCTCTGTGTAAACGCTCTGCCTGTTACAAATGCTACAACATTTGGTTTCTGGAGGCAGAGCCTTTTAAGTACACAGTCACGTTTCCTGGTAGCTTCTTTCATCACCCAGCATTGAAATGGCCCTGTGCATTCCGCCTTCCAGCCTACGTTCAGGCACCACATGTGCAGTAGACAGAGGGTGGGGTGAAGCCCCGCATAATCTGCTTCCATCATCCTGCCTGGATCCATGCCCCAGGCTGTCTTCTTAAGGCATCTAGAATTGAACTTGGGACGGGGGGCTGTGCTTTGGGTCCCGCTGGGAAAAGTTCCATTATGAAGACTAAAGCGGTGACTCTCTGCTGGTGACGATTTTGTCCCCCAGGGCATGTTTGGTTCTATCTGGAGACATTTTTTCTCATCACAGCTGAGGGCGGAGTGGGGTGGTGTGGGTGCTACTGGCATCTAGTGGATAGAGGCCAGGGACGCTGCTAAACGTGTGCAGTGCACAGGACAGTCCCCACAACAGAATCACCCGGCCCAGGATGTGCATGGGCTGAGACATGCTTGTCCATCCAACGATGAAGGTGTGGACTTGTGCCATGTATCCCCAGCACTTTATATATATTAGCCCGTGTAGTTTTCACAACCATCTTTGTAGCTGCTGTGTGATTATCACCCCCACTTTATATGTGGACAGACTGAGGTATGGAACAGTTAAGTGACTGTACAAGGACCCACAGCCAATGAGTCAGATCTGGGATTTCAACCAGTGTGCTCAGTCACTTCTTCATCCAACAGTGGAGTTTATAGGGCTCAATTTATAAGTTGGGGGGTATATTAAATGAGATAATAGGTATAGAAACACCTAGTATGGTTTATATTAGGCGTCCCATAAAAACGTTTTAAAAATAAGGAGCCATAAGACAGGGATGTGAGACAACGAGATGTAAGCAGGGCTGTCGGACCTGGCAGTAAACTGGGGTCCTGGCAGGTGAGGTATTGGTGACCAGGCCATGGATGAAGCTGCAGTTTGTTTCAGCGCTTGAACCAGAATCTATGTAGCTTCTTTTGCATTTTTTATAACTCGGATTTTAGCAGTGACTGTGTACCTGGTACTGTGTTAGGTGCCAGGTGTACATAACCAGACCAGATGGTAAGAGCATTCTGTCCATCTCACTGTCCCCACTGTCCTCCAACCCACTTCCCTCACCCGCTCCTTGTACTCTAAGCTGGTCTCCCTGCTTCTGCCAGGCCCCAGCTACCAACTCATTCTCCACTCAGTGGCCACAGTTGTCTTTTTGGTTATTCTTTTGTTGCTGATTTCTACCTTATTTGCATTTGTGGTTAAAGAATGAGGGCTGTATGTTTTTGATTCTTTGATATTGGTCAGGATTTGCTTTGTGGCTTAGTACAGGTCAGTTTTGGAAATGTTCCTTCTGTGCTTGCAGTGAGTATTTGTCATCGTTGGGTACAGAGTTCTGCATATGTTGATTCCAGACCAAACTTCTTAATTCTGTTACTGAGGTATATTTAGACCGTATTATTAGGTGCACACAATAGAAAATATTCTGGAGATTTTTTTTTTTCCCAATTACCATTATATGAAGGGTCCCCTTTGTCCCTGCTATTCCTCCCCAGTTCTATTTTATCAATATTAGAGTTACCATCATTGTTTTGGTTAGTATTTTCCTCTTATTAGTTAATATTTATCCTCTTCGATTTGGCGCCTGTCTTTGTTTATTTATTTAAAGATTTATTTATTTGAGAGGGGCACCTGGGTGGCTCAGTGGGTTAAGCTCCTGCCTTCAGCTCAGGTCATGATCTCAGGGTCCTGGGATCGAGCCCCGCATCGGGCTCTCCGCTCGGCAGGGAGCCTGCTTCCCTTCCTCTCGCTCTCTGCCTGCCTCTCTGCCTGCCTCTCTACCTACTTGTGATCTCTGTCTGTTAAATAAATAAATAAAATCTTTAAAAAAAATTTTAAAAAAAGATTTATTTATTTGAGAGAGAGTGAGAAAGAGCGGGGGAGAGACAGAGGGAGAGGGAGGCAAGCAGACTCCCCACAGAGTGGGGGCCCGATATGGGACTCTATCTCACAACCCTCAGATCATGACCTGAGTCGAAACGAAGAGTCAGACACTCAACTGACTGAGCCACCCAGGGGCCCCTTGGCATCTGTCTTCAAATCTCATAACCAGCCTAAACTGGATTTTTTAACCCAATCTGATAATTTCTCCTAACTGTTGGATTGAGTTCATTTTCATATATGTTTTCTGATATATTTATTTGCCCCATCTTACCTTGTGTTTTCTATTTGTCTATTTCTATAACATTTTTTTATCTTTTTCTGCAACTTCAAGCTTTCTTTTTCTCCTCTATTCTTTTGAAAGTTCTACATTGTATTTTTATTCTTTCCTGTTTACTGTTTCAAGTTAGTCAGTATCTTTATCCTCCTAGGAAATATACAAAGACCTGGGGAGAATGCCTTGGTCCTCCTACCACATATGCCACTGTGTGTTTATTCCTCCCCGGTCATCTAGTACTGGCAGGGTTTGTGCACTCACTGATGGTTTCTCTTTGCCTGCATTCTTTACTCACCAGGCTCTACATCTCACTCCTTTCCACTATCTGTTTTCTTCATTCTGAGGTGCATCTGATAATATTTCTTTCAGGAGCGTTTGTCACTGGCAAAAGTCATCCTTGTTTGTCAGAAGAATGTCTAGAACCTCCAGTTTTCCCCACGGCTGTTGAGAAAGTCTGTTGTCATGCCATTTGCTCTTTGAATTTGATCGTCTTGCTTGCTTGATTAAAATACTTCCACAGCCCTCTGCTGTCCCCAGCGTCTAACCCGTAGAGGCTTATGGAAGTATTTTAATCGGGAAAGTGAGACGATCAGATCCACTCTCACTTGGAGTCAACGAGATTTCCAAATAGAGGAAGGTTGTACTTGCCGTGGTCACAGGAGAGTCGGCAGAGGTGACTAGCCCAAACCAGTGGTGACTATAGGACTGGGGAGAAGTACTGAATTGCGGAGTTGTATTTAAAAAGTCAACTCCACAGGGGAAGGGAGGAGACGAAGGAGAATGACAGTTTCCAGGCTCCAGCAGTAGAGTAGATGATGGCGCTGGTCATTAACTAAGAAACACAAGAAGGAATTGGTTTTGGGAGTGAGGAGGATGAGCTAGTTCAGAGGAAAGAGAGCCATCGAAGGAGATGGATGGAGAAGGAGCAGCCAGGGCAAGAGGGTTAAAATCAGAAGAAGCTGCAGTCACAAGTCCCATGAAAACAACTCTTGATGAAGAGGGTTATGGTCAGCAGGATTGGGCTTCTTGGAGACAAATAAGAAATATCCAGTAGATTTATGAAAAAGAAGGTGAAGGTCAAAGTTAGCTTGTTAAGAATACATTCAGTGGTTTGGTGGTGGGCAGAGCGCAGGCTGCTCTGCACAGTTAGCTCCTTAAAGGTGTTTGTATGGAGAGGAGGATGATAAGAGTGTATTTGCAGCAGGTCAGAGGGCCTAGGGAGAGTTGTGTTTTAGGGAGACATGGGGCAGCCAAGAAGGCTCTGAACAAAGAAGGATGAAGATAATCCATAGAGTGACAGGTGGTAGGGGATCTTGAGATCAGGTGGCGGAAAGCCTTGGACTGAAGGCAGGACACCTCTTCCACCAGCTCAGGAGGAAGGGCAGGTACAGATGCAGCTAAATAAAGGTTTGATGTTGGGAATTTGTGGGCACTTTCGCGTGATGACTTCCATTCTCGTAACACAGGAAGCGTGGTCATCTGTGAGTGTGAGAGGCCCAAGAGAGGCCTCTTGGAAGGAAGACAGTGTTTCTCTTCTTGAAACACCCTGAGCTGCTTTGACCACCCCTGCTGCCAGTCATCTAGCCTTTGCTCTTTTGCTCCTGCCTTTCAGCCACTCCTTCTTAGCCTCTCTTGTTGGGTCTTCCTCTCTCGACCATCCTTCATACATTTGTATTCCCCAGGACTCTGGGCAGACCAAGGAGAAGGCCACAGTTC